GACTCCATCGACACGAGACAGCCTGAATGTGGACGTGTGGGGGGTTTGTCTTGGTCGTGTGTTGGCTTTCTGTACTTCCGGTCTTGTGGAACAGTTCTGAGGGAGATGGACGCGAGGGAAGTCCTATGATATGTGACCAGCAGTAATTTATTCGTTTGTGATAGAATCGTGATTAGGTCACTGGGCCGTTGTTTGTGAAAAGCGTGTTCCAAATTGTTCAGAGATCCAACATGAGTAAGGTGGTAGCACTAACCCGTTCTAGCAAAGTTTTGAAGAGTACAATATGGTTCTTTTTTGGTAATGGCAGGACCTTCACTCATACGTGTTAGACCTTCGTAGTGTAGTCTACCGTCCAAAAGGCGAGACGCCACAGCAAAGAGGATGCCACCTCGCTTTCTGGCGAGGCGCGCCATTTGCAAGCCAAGTCTTCAGAGCTTGTCGGTATCTTCCCACCTCCTAGAACCACTCGCGCAATGCTCGGAATGCTCTGTGTGGTGTTCTAGGCTAGAACTTCTAGCACTGTACAGTGGAACCCATTGCTGCTCGATACAGTACAGTACCTAACAAGGCTGTCCAGCTCGGACCAGGATGCCGGAAATTAGGGCGTTCTTTTCCTCCAATCAGGGCTTGCGCTCTTAGTGGCAAGCAGGAATCGCAGGGCCCTTGCGTGCTGAAGTCAGCTGTGGGCAATGAATGATGCTCAGCTGAGCACTTAGCAAGGCTTGCCATGCCAGCTGGGCAGAGTCAAGCACTGGCATCCCACGGGTGCGCCGTCCGTCGTTACCGTCCCAAAAAAGCAGTAGCCAGATGACCAAGGGAGATGCGGCGGTGTCGTGACCGCCAGCTAAACATGTGGCAGTCGTCGTGACGAGCAAGTGTCTCGATTGTAGGGTTTCGTCCCAGTCACAAATTGGCCGCTGACTTGGCTCCCTTTCAGTGGCTGCGTCCGAGAAGGATGCTTTCAGTGCGCCTAACCTCCCTCCCTCCCCGTTCCAGCCTCTTTCCGTCGCACGCCGACTGCCGCGCGAGACTCTTGTCCGTCGCACGAACACCACACAGGTGCACAACAGAGAGTCTAGGGTTGCGTGATGGCAGAAGCTCGGTTTCGCGCATCGCTTAAGGAACGGCGCGCGGATAAACGGGGGGAGCGGATAGACGGGGGGAGCGGAGACACCGTGGGAGGAAACGGGGGAACCGCGGAATTTCGGGGGCCCACACACGTGAGGTCACTCACGCTCATGGGGGGTTGCCCGCCCGCTCTTTCAGGGGATCGTCTTCCATCGGCTCCGGGCGATGTCGTCGCCCTGGAGGAACCAGCAGGCCTCCTCTAGTTCAGCGGTGTAGATAATCCCTAGAGAAAATACGAAGGAGTGTATACCAGTGGTAAGTAGGTTTGGTCGTCTGCGTCGCCGCTAGCGGGATCCTCGCACCACTTGTTCCCTGCTACTTGTCCGAGATTCCTACTTTCCAACTCTCGTCAAAACGCAGTCGTTCCTAAAATTACTTCTCAGAACGTTCGGAAAGCTCTCGAAAAGTTCATCGCCGGTTGCTAGTCGGCTTACCAGAGGGACAACTTGACCCTTGATGTGGAATTTCCTCCACACCTTTGAACTAGCCTTCTTTTCAGAGCTCTTGAAACCGAGACGCGAGCTTGTGTTGTTACTGTACCAGGTCAACTTGACCCCTGCAGTGGAATTCCCTCCACACTTTTGACGTAGCCGTTTTTCAGAGCCCTTGACTCGAGGTTCGAGCCCTTGAATTGGAATTGTCTATCCTCTCGCCTCTTCGCAAAAGCGAGGATAGTTTCTGATGGAAGTTTGTCTTGGAGGAGCACTTGAAAGTTGAAACGAGAGCTCTGGCCTGGGCTTCTGCTAGCAACGATAAGCTCTACAACCCCACTTCATCTGAGCTTCTATTCTGAGCGATATGCTCTATCCCCTTCGCCTGCGTGAGCCTGTTAGAGCCTGTGATTCTTGTCAGCCACCTCAGCATATCGCCTCTTCCAGCTTGTTGGTTGGAGCTTCCAGCCTGATCCGATAATAGCCTGAGTCTCAAAACCTCCGTCTCAGATTAATCCGTGATCTTTCTAACTCCGTAACGTGCGGAAACGCCGTGACGTTTGAGTTGGTGGTTCTTCAGTCTCGTTACCAATCACCTCAGGTATAATGAGGTCTATTATGTTAACTTTAGGAGTGAGAAAGAAGAATTCCGGTGGCACTAAGGAGAGGAGTAGGCGCGTCACTGGAGCGCTTTGGAAACCAGAGGTACATAATACCTACTGATGCTGTGGTTTTGTTATTTTCGACATGATTCCCTTTCTGTTCTATTCATGAAAGCTGTCCTGATCTCTCAAATGTTCCATTATTTGGTGTGTGCAGGAAGACAAGATTTTACTGGACCACGTGGCAAGGCATGGCACAAACAAGTGGAGACTTATCAAGTCTATGGGTCTTCTGCCCTCACGAAACCACAAGTCGTGCTGTAACCGCTTCATCGTGCTGAAAAGGTAATCATCCATGCTCAGTACTTGTGCCCTTCTCGTGATTTGCTCCACGGCGCTGAATAGCCTCCTCCAATGCTGCATCTGATTGATTGACGTTATGGCATACACTTGTGTGTGTCCTTTGCAAGAGCTGTCAGTATGACTTGCCAGCTTGACATTGCTTCACTGCATTCATGCGTCACGTTACCACTACCACCTTTCCATTCAGGAAGCTTTTGAGTCGTCACAAAATGTACCACATGTCCTCGGTTCTCTTTCCAATGTCATGCAGAAAGCTGTCCAGGCTCCAGCAAACGACGGCACGTATGGACTTCGCCGATTTTGAGGCCTTTCATCAGCTGCACCAGCGTATGGCACACAGGGACATGCCTGATTGTGGGATGTCGCAGAATCTGCACCAGAGCTCGGCACACACGGACATGGATGGGAAGGCGATGATGGCTGAGAAATTGCAGACGATGAGGACGATTGCAGAACAGAAAAATTCAAAAGAAAGTTCCGATCGACTTCTCACCACCTCATCGTATCAGCATCAGTACACTGCAGCATGGGACATGGCCGAGAGAATGATGATGCCGATGGAACCTGAGATTCAAGCAGCGACAACAGTAACGAGTCAACTCATTATGGGGGATGAAGAAGAAGCAGCAGCAGCAGCAGCAGCAGCAGCAGCAGCAGGAGCAGGAGCGGGGGTGCTTGAAATTGCGAGCCCAACAGCCATGGACTCCCAATCCCCATGCTCATTTGAGCATAAAATTCTAGCAATGCCAAATTTTCCAACAACGCAGCAGCTCCTCTCATCATCACTCCTCCCATCATCTCTGTCTCAACCCCTTCTCCACGCCACGTCAGATCCCTCAGCCTCGCCCCATGTCCCACCCATGGCAACTCTCCTCCCCCCTCCATCTCCCACTCTTCCTCATCATCGCCCTCTTCCTCAGGAAGGAATTGACATTAACACCTTTTCACTGGTGGGCTCACCTATGCAGGAACTGAAGCAGATTGAAGCCTTTCTACTGGGTGCATTGCCTTCTCAGCAGGGCAATGCCTATGGTCTGTTCAACATTTGCAGCAGCTCGCAATCAGAAATGGAGCAGATGCCACTTGACTCTGCGGCTGCAGTTAACAGGACTCACAGATTTGTCTGTACAGATTTTACTGACGCGAGTACATGTCCACCGGTTGCGGATGTTGCTGCTGATGCTGACTTTCCCAACTTTGCTGGTGCGCTCTCTGCTGGTGCGCTCTGTGCTGGTGCCGTGTCTGGTTCAGCTGACACACGCGATGCTGATGCGGTTTCGAATGGAGGTTTGAGGTGCCTCGAAGCTGTCTGTCATGGTGGAGCTGATCCCTGCTGCAATGCTGACATTGTGCTCTCAAGTGCTGGGCCTGATGTGGTCGCTGCTGCTGCTGCCTCTGCAGTGGATGCACTCGCTCCAATGGCTGCTGACACCGCGAGGGATGCACTCGCTGCACTGGTGGCTGACACCACGGCATTGTCCCGCCTAATTGAGGCTGAGATGAGGAGAATCGACGATACCCTGCTGCAGTTAGCTCATATGCCCAAACTTGCAACCGAATTTTCAGCCGAAATTTCTCCTGAATCTTCACTCGCATCAGCTCTGGAGGGCCAGACTTCTTTGGAATTGACTCGAGGGCTGTTACCATGGTCCTCTCTCCATCCGGCAAGCACAGTGCAATCTCCGCATCTTGCAAGCACAGGGCAATCTCCGCATCTTGCAAGCACAGGGCAATCTCCCCTTCCAGCAAGCACAGTGCATTCCGCCGCACCAATTTTTACGTCACGGCCAGCAGCATTGCTGTCAGGTACTTCCTCTTGGTTTCAACCACCGCTGGCACCAGCTACTGCTGCTTCTGCTGCTGTGGCTGGTGCTGCGCTTGCTACTGTTTTTTCCACTCCTGCTGCTACCGCTGTGCTTTATCCACTGAGCTGCATCTCTCTCCCAAAGATGCGCCCCGCTGAGGCTGACCGTTTGAAGCCAGATGAACTGTTTGAAGCGAGGTGCAATGGGTCGATATGCAGGGTGAGTTACCAGTAGATGGCATGCCATGGCGTGGCATGCCACATCGTTCGATGACTAGTATCGCATGCTCAGGTTGATGGCATGGTTCTACCGTATTTTGCCACATGTTTTATTGCATGATTTATGCTCTGGCTGGGCATTTCAGGTACCATGTACAATATGTGCATAATAACAATTTCTGTATGATGGATATAATTTTTCTTCAATTTCCTGTAAACTTTGTGGAGAGTGAGATTGGAATGCTTTTTACATTGGGAGACGAGTCGACACTGCAGAGCGGATGGGGGAGCATCTCATGTGGAAAGCTTGACCGCTTGCATGCTTCCATTCCATCCCCGAGCCACCTCCTCCTCTGCTTTCTCACACTACCATCCAGCTTGGATTCGGATACCGGAAATTAGGGCATTACAGCATAAGCCGCCAACCAGGTGCTTGCTCGCGTTCGTGGTGCCTCGAGCTTTGCGAAGTCAGCTGTCACTGTACAGAAATCCGGCAACTGACTGACTGCCCGCCTGCGACGGGCAAGGCGTACGTAGGATGCGCAACCAATTCATCAGTTACTGAGGCCTGCCTGCCTGGCAGCTGTACTAGGGTGTATGATGGACTACAGCTGGCACACACTACAGAGCCAGGCGTGTAGCGGTACTGTTCCCAAGGCACCACCATTGCATTCCTTTCGGTTTTGCGGTGCTTCCCCCCTCCCCCTCCCCCCATCCCCCCACCCCCCGTCGCACAAGGCGAAGTGTTACTACTAGTGCAAGATCCGCAAGTGTTTGATCTTCTGGAGGTGAGTGAGAGCCTGCCATAGCTGCCAGAATCAGCGTTTCCAAGAACTGGTTTTGCAGTACAGTCTGTAGTGGTTCTGCTAGGCTTGGCCATTTGTACAGACTCGCGCCCCAGATGGCTCCTTCGCACTCGCTCCGAGTTCCCTCATTTTCCAAAGGTTTCGTCGTCAAACGGCAGACGCTTCGATCGAGCGTGGACAGGAGAAAAGAACCACCCGAAATGACTCGGAGGGGTACAAGAGCGTCGTTCTTTTCCTGGCCAAACAAGAGCACTACTCGGAGTGGTACAAGAGCGTCGTACGCTACGATAGAACACAGCATCCACGTCATAAGACCCTTTGCTTTTGAGCCGACTCAGTAGCTCTCCATCAGATCCTTTTCAGCCTGCAGAAAGGGAAAAGCAGAAAAGGGGTATTTTTAAACTACATGAGGTCTGAAAAGGGTCTTGTAACTTTCTCACTCAGCATTCTTTGTGGCTCAGTCGCTGCGAGACCCTGGTTACCCGTTTCGCCCCGTGGTTTAGGGACGGGTTCTACAAAGTCTGGAACTCATTCTGTGGGTGACTTGCTCGATTTAATAAATTTGGCTTATTATGGCGAGTTTGGGAGTGAAAGGGCAGAGTTCTGGTGGGACTAAGGAGAAAAGGAGGCGCGTCGGTGGAGCACTGTGGAAGCCAGAGGTACGACAGATATTTTTTTGCTGGGTTATTAAGGGTACTACCTAATATGATTATTGTTAACGTACTATTTGAGAGAGTTGTTTCCGTGTTCCTGATGTTATAATGTTTGGTTTATGCAGGAGGACAAGATTCTGTTGGCCCACGTGGCAAGGCATGGCACGAACAAGTGGCAGCTTGTCAAGGCTATGGGTCTGCTGCCCACACGGGATCACAAGGCGTGCTGTAATCGGTTCATTGTGCTCAAGAGGTAATCTGTTTATGCTCTTAGTAGTGGTTGCTTCTTCATGCCTTTTTTTTCCGGATTGAATGTCTTGTGTGTGTCTTGAGCAAGCGCTGTCTCATCAATACTTTCTCACTTCACATTACTTCAGGACTACTTTTTGACATTTCCGTGCAAAAAGCTTTTGAGCCGAGTCAGAATGTACCTCTCGGCGTTGCCTCACAACCTCTGTGTGTTACATTCTCTTGTTACCCTCTTTGATGTCACACAGAAAGCTCTCCATTCTGCACCAGCATGTGGCGCACACGGACATGCCTGATTCTGGGATGCGTCAGAATCTGCACCAGCTTACGTCACATTTGGACATGCCTGAGAAGATGATGACTACTGAGACGACTGAGACGACTGAGACGACTGAGAAGACGCTGGTGTTTGGGACGACAACGGAGGCTGAGAGGGCGACTAAGGCTGAGAAATTGGTATCGATGGTGATGGAGATGGGGATGGGGATGGCAGTGGCAAAGCGGCATGTGACTTCAGAGGAGAAAGATGGATGCTCCCTCAGCACCTCACCGTGTCAGCAGCAGCAGACGCCATGTCAGCAGCAGCTCACAACGTGTCAGCAGCAGGACACATCATATCACCAGCTGTATGGAAGAATGCTGATTATGGATCCTCATCTTGGAGCAGCAACAACAGTAACGAGTCACTTCAGTATGGAGGATGCAGCAGCAGCACCGGCAGCAGCAGCAGCAGCAGCAGCAGCAGAAGCATCAGCAGCAGAGATGCTTGAAACTACAAGCCCAACGGCCATGGTCGCTCAATCCCCATGCTCGCCTGAGCATCAAAGCCGTCGAACACCAACGCAAAAACAAAAGGATTCGCACGGTATTTTGGAGAACTCTAAGAAAGTTCCTGAAATGGATCGGGCAGCCGTGCTGTTGGCCGACTCACCTTTGCTGCAGGAGCTCGAGGGTTCCGAAGCCTTCCTGCTAGATGAACCACCTCAGCCTCAGCAGATGCCTCAACAAATACCTCAGTGTGTGCCTGCTTTTGACGGACTTAGTTTTGCCAGCGGCCGTTTGCCAGCTGAACCAGGCTGGGCGGAGAAGCTGAAGCTTGTCTGCCCCTCTCCTGACGAGCATCCCATGATGATGGCTCGTGCAGCTCTTTGTGGCGTGAATCACTGTCTACCAGTTGGGAATGCTGCTGCTGCTGCTGATACTGCTGGTGCTGCTACTGCTACGGCTACTTCTGCTGCTGCTGATGCGGTTCTTTCTGGCTTAGCTCGCCTCACAACTGTCTCTCCTGGCTTAGCTGATCCGCACTGTGCTGCTGCTACGTTTCCGCGTGCTGGTTCAGATTTGGTCGCTGCTGCTGCTGATGAGGTTCTTTCCACCTTTGCGGAATTGCTCTCTGCTGGTGCTGCATCTCCTGGTGCGGCTGACCCACACGATGCCGATGCGGTTTCGAATAAAGTCTTAAGGCGCCTCATGACTGCCTCTCCTGGCTTAGCTGATCCGTGCTGTGCTGGTGTGACGTTTCCAATTGCTGGTTCGGATTTGGTAGCACCTGCTGCTGCTGATGCAGTTGCAGTGATTGCTGAAAGGCTCTCTGCTATTGCTGTGCCTCCTGTTTTACTTCACCCGCGCAACTCTCATTCTTATGTCAATGCTGCTGCTGCTGATGCAGATGCTGATGCTGATGCTGATGCAGCTTTTTCAAGTGCTGGATCTGATTTGGTCGCGGCTGCTGCTGGCGCGGTTGCTGCGATTGTTGCTGCTGATGCAGCCGATGCTGCTGCTGCAGAGGATGCACTCACTGCCATGGCTGCTGACAGCGCGGCATTGTCCCGCCTGATTGACGCTGAGATGAGGAGAATTGACGATGCCCTGCTGCAGTTTACTCCCAAACCTGAATCTTCACCTGAAATTTCACCTGGAATCTCACCTGCATCAGCTCCTTCCCGAGAAACAGCTCTGGAGTGCGAAAATCTGCGGAGCTGCCTCACGAAGTATCGACAGCGTCTCCTCTCCATCCGGCAAACACAAAGTGGCCTTCCTCCGTAGCTCCTGCGTTGCAAACAGCTGCACTGCCACCAGCCCCTGATGATTTTTTAGTCGGCTCAAAAACCCCACCAGGTCCTGCTCCTGCTGTACATCTGCTGAGCTGCCTTGCTCTCCATTATGGCGCCCAAGAAAGAGACCCCTCGCAAGCAGCAGCACTGCCGCCCGCTCCTGCTTCTGCTGTGCGGCTGCTGAGGCGCATTGCTCTCCCAGGAGTGGCGGTCCCTACCGAGGTGCGTCCGCTGTGCCGCTTTCAGCTTGCACGGCTGTCCAGTAGCACTGCCACCTGTTCCTGCTTCTGCTGTGCGGCTGCTGAGCTACAGTTTTCCCTGGAGTAATCCCCACTGAGGTGCATCTGCTGCGCCGCTGTCCGCTTGGAAGGCCGTCTGAAACAAGATGAAGTAAGCCAGAGGGTTGCCCTGAAGCCAGATGAACTGCCTCAAGCATGGTGCAATGGTCTGAAGGGTGAGTGACATGAAATACTAGGGCACATAATATTGGATGGCGGGCGCATGTGTCAACATATGTTTGTAATGTTATAGGCTAGATAGGTGCATGCTCATAGAGAGTACAACTCCTTAGGACAAAACCACCCTGTATCACTCATTCTTGTTCATTGCGTCATTTTGAGATGGTATTACGCTAGGTTAGGTCCCCCTCCCCGCTTACACTTCCACCCCTAGCCCTAGCCCTAGCCCTAGCCCGTGTCCTAGCCGTGTCCTAGCCGTGTCCTAGCTGTGCCCTAGCCCTAGCTGTGCCCGCGCCCTAGCTCTGTCGGCGCCGGCCCCGTCCCTTCGCGCCGACCCCGTTAGTTCGTGCCGGCCCCGCTAGTTCGCGTCGGCCCCGTCACTTCGCGTTGGCCCCGTCACTTCGCGCCAGCTCCGTCACTTCGCGCCGGTCCCCGTCAGTTTGCGCCGGCCCCGCTAGTTCGTGCCGGCCCCGTCGCTCCGCGCTGTCCCCGTCGCTCCGCGCTGGCCCCGTCAGTTCACGCCGGCCCCGCTAGTTCGCATCGGCCCCGTCCGTTCGCGCCGGTCCCTCTAGTTCGCGCCGGCCCCGTTGCTTCGCGCTGGCCCCGTTAGTTCGCGTCGGCCCCGCTAGTTCATGCCGGCCCCGCCAGTTCGCGCTGGCCCCATCACTTCACACCGGCCCCGCTAGTCTGCGTCCGCCCTACTAGCCCGTGATGGCCCCGCCACTTCGCACCGGCCCCGCTAGTTCACGCCGGCCCCGTCCTTCTGCGCCGGCCCCGCTAGTCCGCACCGGCCCCTGGTCACACCGGCCCCCGTTCGAGCCGGCCCCAGTTCGCGTTGGCCTCTTTTCCCGCTGCCGTGCCACCGTGACGCCGTGCGTGCTGCCGTGCCGCCATGCCGCCGTACCGCAGTGTCGTCGTGTCGTCGTGCCGCCGTGTCGCCCTGCCGCCGTGCTGCCGTCAGCTGCTGCGGCCGTGGCGATGGCGGACGTTGTGCTCCGCCAGGACGCGTAGGATTAGGTGATCGACTTTGAGGCGTGGCTCGTCGACCTCCGCCGTCAGCTTACAGGTCAGCGTCAAAACGGTTACTCCCTGGCCATCCATGTCGACGGTAAGCTTCCCTGCCCTGTCGTGCCTGTTGCCCTCCCTGACGCTCCCACGTCTGCTGAGCGTGAGGCCTTTGCCATTGCTGAGCTTGCCCACGCTGACTGGGAGTCGCGCGATGCGGTAGCGCAACTTGCTATGAGTCACGCCCTTCCCCTGTTTGAGCGTCCCCGCTTTACTGCTGTAACGATTACGAAGGAATACTAAGATGCAGTCATCGCATGCTATTCCACTCCCTCCTCCGCCTCAGCCGGTCGTGTGATCCTGCCCATGCTGTTCCTAGATCTTGCGTCCTTCCCCAATGTCGCTGACCTTGCCACTCATCTGCGTGCACTTGAGACTAGTTGCCGCGCTGCTAGCACTGAGGCCCAACTCACTGCATTCCCTCCTCCCCTCTACGATACCCTTTATCTCATTACCGTACGCATTCCTGACAGCCTTGCCCTGCCCGCGGCCACTCCTTAGTCAGCACCCAGGTGACCTCACCCTTCCTGCCTTTGTCACCACCCTGTCCGCGATAGTGACCCGCCAGCGCACTATTGCTCAGTCTATTGGTACTGCGGCAGTCCCTATCTTCCAGGGCTGTGCTCCCTCCCAGTGCACTTACTCTGACGACTCTGCCGCTATTGCTGAGACGGCTCCTACTGCTGAGACCGCTGTGGCGGCCTCGGGGCAGGCTCGTCAGGGTAGGGGACGTCGGGCCCGGGGGGGGTAAGGCGACGGGAGGGGTGGTGGGGGTGGCAAAGGTGGCGGAGGTGGCGGCGGTGGTGGAGGGGACGGTTGTGCAGACGAGGGGACCGGTGATAATGCACTGGTGCAACAGCAGGAGCCGCAGCAGCAGCCCCAGCAGCACCAGCAGTAGCAACAGCAATCGAAACAGCAGCAGCAGCAGTCGAAGCAGCAGCAGCAGCCGCCGTGGGGACCCCCGCTGCCGTGGTGGCACGACGGCGCTAGTGGTGATGGTCATGATAGTGGGTTGCGCAGCTCGGTGTCGGATGTCAGCTCCATTGTGGTCACCTGCCAGTACCAGCTTCAGTCTGGCCCCCGCCGCGGCCCTGTCTCTGACCGTCACGGTCACACCGTCGCCCGCTGCTACCGCCGCCTGGACGACCTCTTCCGTCTCCGCTTCGACCCCGTGTCGGACTCCCCCGACTGGTACAGACTGGTGCGTCGCCGTGTGCTTGTCTTTGAGCTGGATATAGATCGCATTAGGTCTGCTATTTATGTCATGCATGCTGAAGACTCTAGTGTGATTGGACTCTATTACCCATTGTTGCCTAGTGTAAGTGTGTCCACTTTGTGTAGCCTAGGTTATTCTGCTGCGTCTGGCATAGGACCACCTACCTTGTTTAGCCTCGGCTCCACTCTAACTCCTCCGCCTTCAGATGCCATCACCGCGCTCTCTTTCACGCAAGAGATGGGTGTGCTTGCCTGCTTCGTTCGCGACCACATTGCACTCACGCCGCTTGCTGCCCCTGCCGCTGTAGTGCTCTCTGACCCCTCCCCAGGTCCAAAAGTTGCACGTAGCTCCACTATCCTTCCCTCTCCGGAGCTTCCCTCGGGCTCTCTTACAGGCTTGCACATCCCCTCGTTCTCCAAGAACCTAGTTGGTGTCAGGTGTCTTCAGAACCTCGGCGTCACCTCTACGTTTCCTTGACACGAGCGGTACGCAGTCTACACCGAGGCCGCCACTGGTGCCCTGCTCACCACGTTCCCCTTAGACCCGGTGTCTGGCCTGTTCACTCTAGACACCGCGTCCCCCCTGGTGGGAGCGTCCCTCCAGGTGGTCGCACCATCCCAGGTCACTGCGGCTTGATCGTGTCGGTCGCTCACCCACTCATCGCTGCTATGGCACCACCGCTTGGGTCACCCCGCACTCCCACGTCTGCGTCACATGTCCCAGCACGGTCTTGTCTTAGGTCTCCCTACGTCGCGGCCTGCCCTCCCTCCCTCGCCTGCGCCGCCGTGCATGGTCTGCGTCGAGGGCCGGCTGCGCCATGCCCCTCACTCCTCCTCGCTTCCCCCTACCACTGCGCCACTCCAGACCCTGCACCTGGACGTCTGGGGCCCAACCCCCATCCTTGGGCCGCGCCGAGAGCGCTACTTTCTGGTGCTCGACGATGACTACACGCGGTACAACATGGTGTTTCCCCTGGAGCAGAAGGCCGACATGCCTGACGTTCTTATCTCATGCGTTGTAGATGCGTGAGTCCACCGCGACTTCCTTGAGCTGCGTCTTCACTCCGACCGTGTCGGCGAATTTGCCTCCTGTCGGCTTGGCAAGTTCTGTCATGCGGAGGGCATCACCCAATCGTACGCTCTGCCGGACTCCCCACAGCAGAATGGTGTCTCTGAGCGACGCATCGGTTTGGACATGAAGGTGGCTCGTACCTCCATGATCCATGCCAGTGCACCCCATTTTCTGTTCGCTGTTCGCTACGGCACTCACCAGCTTAACCTCTGGTCACACTCCCAGCGGCCGCAGGTTTCGCCGACACTCCTCTGAACCGGTTCCCCTGGTGACGCGTCTGCGTTCCACTTTTGGGGTTGCCTTGCTCACATTCGTGCCTCTGGCACGGACAAGCTCACTATCCTCTGTGTCTTCCTTGGCTTCCCCCTAGGTGCGTCTGACTGGCACTTTTACCACCTGCCGTCTCACAATTTTTTTCACTCTCGTGACGTCAGTTTTGACGAGTCTGTTTCCTCCTATACCCGCTTTCCTCACCGAGGTCTCCCGGTTGCCCCGCCCCTGTTCCTCGTCCCCACTCCCCGTCCTGCCCCGTCTGGTGTGTCTCACGTTACTCCCCCGCCATCGCTCGTCCCGGTGGAAGAGTCGGCTGACTCTGGTGGCCCTGCGGCTCCGGGTTTGTCGCCTGTCTCCGCCCCAATTGCTCCTCCTCCACCACCGCAGCCGCAGTCGCCGTTGGCACTGCAGCAGCTATCGTCGTCGCTGCCACAGCAGCAGCCGCCGCCACCGCCGCAGGGGTTCGAGAGCTATGGGGGTGCGGGCATTGAGGAGGGTGTTGGTTCTGGGAGTGCTGGTTCTGGGGGTGCTCGTCCTGGGGGTACTGCCGTGGCTTGTCCCGGCAGTCGTGGGGTTGGCACGGATGCTGGAGAGGTTTCTCATTTTGGGGGTGTTGGCGTGGAGCGTCCCGGAGGTAGCCGTGGTGCAACTAGAGGTTTTGGTGTCGACATAGAGCAGTAGCAGCAGCATTCGCCGCCGGTGTCCGCTCTTTGCCTCCTCGGTCTTCCTTTCCCCGACACCCTGCCTCCGCCTCCCTTGCCGCCGCCTCCTCCACCTGTTTGCGGCGCCGTGTTTCCTCCTCCGGACTTGTCCCCAGCATTTCCCCCCTCGTTCTCCTGCTGTGTCTCCTCCCTTGACTCCTGACCCGACCCCCCCCTCCCGCTGGTGGTCTCACCGTGCCAATCGTGCTCGTCTAGTCTCTCCGGTTCAGCGCTCTCACCCTATGCTGCTCCGTTCTCACTCATCTTGTGCTCCCGTTCTACCGTCGCCTCCTCAGTCGTTGCTTGTTGTCTCCCCTCCTCCTCTCTCTGACTTCCACCATGCCTGCTTGTCCCTCGCGTTCTCACTTCTATTGTTACCGACCCGTCCGTTCCTGTCTCTAGTCTTGACGCTCTTGTCGTTGCCGTCGCTGACTTTGCCTCTACCCACCGCCTTGACTACACCACCGCTTTGGTTTTTGACCCTGCCCATCCTCTGTCCGTCGGGGGTGCACCTGTCCTTGGTAGTGGCGTTCTAGAGGACAGACAGTATGAGCTTGCTTTCCTGTCCGAGGCCGCTCCCCATTTCTGCTCCATGCTGCTAGTCCCTGAGGGTGACACAGACGCCCTTGACATCCCGACCCCTTGCACGTACGCTGAGGTGACCTTGGGACTCTGTGCCTCTCTGTGGATAGCTGCCATGGATACGGTGTTGGCATCTTGGAGATCCACCGGCACCTACGTTGGCGTAGTTCCCCCACATGGGATGAACGTAGTCGATGGCCGATGGCTCTTCAAGATGAAGCGCCCTCCTGGAGAGCCGTCGGTGTTCAAGGCGCGCTCCATTGCTAGAGGCTGCTACACTAGCAGCACAGCGTGACTACGAGCTGCACTCCCTCGACTTCTCCACATCGTTTCTCCAGGGAAGTCTGCACGAGTAGGTCTACGTGCGCCGTCCGCCCGGCTTCACCAGCACCTTCGCCCCTGGTACCGAGTGGCTCTTCCGGCGCCCGGTTTACGACCTGCGGCAGGTGCCCTATGAGTGGCACGACACGCTGCGTGCTATATTAGCTAATCTGTAGTTCTTCTCGTCGTCTGCAGACCGTTCGCTCTTTGTTCATTCAGGCCAGACCGCGCTCTACATCCTTGTCTACGTAGACGACCTGGTCTTCGCTACTATAGACAGAGACGCACTGCCTCGGTAAAGGCTGAGCTACTAAGGAGACACACCTGCACTGACCTAGGAGAGCTGCGCCGTTACCTTGGCCTGCAGATCTCCAGAGGGACACATCAGCGCGCACCATCACTCTCACACAGTCACACTTGGTGCGCCAGGTCCTTCAGAGGTTCGGTCTTCAGTTCTCCTCCGCACAGCCCACTCCTCTGCCAGCAGATCATAGGCTCTCAGCTCCACTCCTTGAGGAGTCTATGGAGGTTGGACTAGTAGTGCCACCCTAAGTTGTGTGTCTCTTGCTAGTCGTTGCCCCTTGTCTAGCCTAGGGGATGTGTCAACATCTATTTGTATATGTAATAGGCTAGATAGATGCATGCTCATAGAGAGTACATCTGCTTAGAACAAAACCACCCTGTATCACTCATTCTAGTTAATTGCAGTATTCTGAGAGCATGTGCAGGTGTTGTGTAGCTCTACATCATTAGCCAGTGTGGTACATATTTTGGATTGTTAGAATTGGTACTAGTTGAAGCATTGATTTTTGACTAGTTAACAACAGGTACCATATCTATCTTTGTTTGCATGATGTTGCTAACATGTGTATATTTGATAGTTCATGAACTTGTTAGAATGACGAAGTGGACTCTAGCATGAGCATACATGATGATATAAGGGTTTGGGTTGTACTCTCTAAAAGCACGAACCTGTCTAGCCTATAACTAGTGGAATCTCCCGGGACCCCATGAGCTTCACAAAAAAAACTAGGAAAACGTTTGGGTAGACATTAACATGGATGGAAATTATTAGAACCCATGTGCAATTATTTCACACCATAAGACATTTCATTTCAATGTAGAACTATTATATATAGGGAGGTGTATTTGTAACGAGGAATCGCAATTCTTTTTCCAAGCCTAGAGAGTGGTACGCATCACGATTCCAGCCCTAGCACAACTGCCAGTACAGTGCCCTTGCCCGCAGTGCGATTGACTTGGTTGAATCTCGCCTAAAAAACGAGAGGTTTCGTGAGCGACATACTCTTCGTCGCATGCCTCGTACTCCTAAAGTGCAATTCGTCATTATCCAGCAAAACTAGCATTGTAAGTGGGGGGTCCTAAAATTACAAGTGAAATAAGACGGATCCTCACGAGTCCTAGTACGTGAGGAGCCACTAGAAGTAGACCAAGCTATAGGCAGTGCCGCAAATGATCTTTAGGCGCGAGCACCTTGGTAAAGATATTAGTTGTGTTGGCACCGGAGGCTAAGTGTACTACGCGTGCTTGCTCGCGCTGCTGTAGCTCGCACAAGAGGAAGTACCGTAGCTGGATGTGCTTCGCTCTGCCCTCTAGTAGAGGCTCCTGACACATGAGGATCATGACACTGTTGTCAGTGTATAGGACCGGGGCGGAGCTAGGCTACTCACCTAAGTCTGTGAGTAAGAACGTCAGCCAGCAGAGCTCCTGTGCTGCCATGGCACCAATCTCAGCCTTGCAGCTGGACTATGCTACAGACGACGAGCGGGTGGACCTCCACGAGATAACGCTGCGCCAAGGCTAAAGCAGTAGCCCTGGGAGGATCTGAGAGTCTCAGCGTCGTCCGCCCATGAATCATCTGTGTGCCGTGTGAGAACCACTGGCCGGTGTCCTCCCAACACTAGCCCCATGCCCGACGTACTTGCTAGATATCGCAAGACCCTATTGGCAGCCGACCAGTGCTCGGGCCGGTGTCTGCCTGTCGCAACAAAGCGTGCGAGGATACTAAGAGGGTATGCGAGATCTAGACGAGTGCAAGTCATCATGTACATGAGGCAGCCCACAAGCTCCACGTAGTGACCACTAGGCTCAACCGGCTCGTTTGGGATTGGAGTCGAGAGCCTGTGATATACTGGGAGAGGGGTGGGCTGCACAGAGGAGAACTGAAGGTCGAACCTCTGAAGGACTTGGCGCACCAAGTGTGACTATGTGAGAGTGATGGTGCGCGCTACTGTGTCCCTGGAGATCTGTAGCACAAGGTAGCGGCGCAACTCTCTTAGGTCAGTGCAGGTGTGTCTCTTCAGCAGCTCGGCCTTCACCGAGGCCAGCGCGTCTCTGTCTGTAGTAGTGAAGTCCAGGAGATCTACGTAGACTATGATGTAGAACGGAGTTTAGCATGAGTGAACGAAGACAGACGCGTCAGTAGAGGATGGAAAGAACTGAAGGTCAGCTAGTTTAGCACACAGCATGTCGTGCAACTCACGGGGTGCCTGCCGCAGACCGTAGACTAGGCGCCGGAGAAACCACTCGGTCCCAGAAGAAAAAGCGATAGTGAAGCCTGGCAGCCGGTGCAGGTAGATCTACTCGTAAAGAATGCCCTGAAGGAAGGCTGTAATGAAGTTAAACGAAAGAAGCTTGTAGTCGCACTGTGCTGCTACGTAAAGCAGCACCCGAAGAGTAGTCATCTTCGGGGTCGGGGCGAAGGTCTGGAAGAAGTCAACCCTCTCGCGCTGACTGAAGCCTCAAGAAATGTAGTGCGTCTTGAATAGCGACGGCTCTCTGGGAGGGCGCTTCACTTTGAAGAGCCACCGGCCATCAACTATGTTCGCCCCAAATAGGGGAACTGCGTCGACGTACGTGCCAGTGGATCTCCAAGATGCCATTACTGCATCCATGGCAGCTATCCAATGAGAGGCCCAGGGTCCCGAAGTCGCCTCAGCGTAGGTGCGAGGAGTCGGGATGTCAAGAGCGTCTGGCTCACCCTTAGGGGCTAGCAGCGTGGAGCAGAGGTGAGGAGCGGCCTCTGAAAGGAAAGCTAGTTGGTACTGCTTATCCTCTATGACGTAAGTGCCAAGGGCAGGTGTACCCCCGACGGACGGAGGACGGGCAGGGTCAGAGACTAGAGCAGTGGCGTAGTCAAGGTGGCGGGTAAAGGTTAAGTCAGCGACGGCAGCGACTAGAGCCAAGAGACTGGAGACAGGAACAGACGGGTCGATAACAAGAGAGGCGAGGATACGAGGAATTCAGAAATGGAGGCGAGGAGACAGAGAGGGATGACGGAGGAGGCAACGGGAGAATTGGAGCAGGAGGAGCACGAAACACGTGAGACAGGAGTAACGTCGGGTGTGAACGTGGAACAAGAGAGACAGGGCGAGCACGAGAGGCACGGTAAGACCATCATCGGGAGGGAGGTGTCGGGTCAGGAGACAAAGGAGGAGACGCATGAGGAAAACAAGGGGGGAAACGAGCCGAAGACGAATCTGGCGGAGGGAACACATGCCCATAGACGGGAGGAGGAGGCGGCGCTGGGGGAGGCACGGGCGGCCGGTCGGGGAAGGAAAGACCAAGGAGGCGAAGGGCTGATGCTAGCGGTGACTACTGCTTCTGTTACTGCTGTTGCGGCTAATGCTGCTGTGGCTACTCCTGCTCGGCGCCCACACTAGGACCTCCAGCCACACCACGGCTGCCTCCAAGACTCGCCACCACAGCACCCCCAGGACCAGCACCCCTATAACTAGTACCCCCAGAACGAGAACCCTCCTTAGCGTCAGTAGCCCCCGTGCCAACACCGCTAGAGCTCACTAACCCCTGCTGCGGTAGCTGCTACGGCGGATGCGGCAGCGATGACTGCTGCTCTGCGGCGGTGGCTGCGGCAGCGATGACTGCTGCACTGCGGCGGCGGCGACAATTGCTGCTCTGCGGCGGCTGCTGCTGCGACTGCTGCTGCGGCAGCAACGAAGGAGTCACCAAGACCGAGGGTGCAGGCGGCGGACCCTGGGCCTCAGGGGCCCTCGAATTAGCAGATTCCTCCGCCAAGCCAACCGAAGGAAGGGGAGTGATAAGAGACACACCAGACGGGGTAGGACGAGGGGCGGGAGCTACTGGGGGAGTGGGGACAAGGAACAGGGGCAGGGTAACGGGGAGACCTCGGTGGGCAAAACGTGTATAGAAGGAGATAGACTCGTCAAAGGTAAGGTCACGCGGGTGAAAGAACCGATGAGACGGTGGGTGGTAAAAGTGCCAGTCACACGCGTTTAGAGGGAAGCCAAGAACAACACAAGGGACAGTGCGGGTAGTAAGCTTGTCTGCGTGAGAGTCACGGACGTGAGCTAGGCAGCCCCAGACGGGAAACGGAGACGCGTCACCAGGGGACCCGATCGATAGAAGGGTCGGTGAAACCTGCGGGCATGAAGAGCGGGGCCCCAGGTTAAGCTGGTGAACGGCGTAGTGAATTGCGAACGACCACATAAAATGGGGTGCACCGGCATCAATCATGGAGGTATGAGCCACCTCCATGACAAAACCGATGCGTCGCTCAGCAACCCCATTCTGCTGTTAAGAGTCCGGCAGTGTGTACGACTGGGTGATGCCCTCCCCACGACAGAACTGGCCAAGCCGACCGGATGCGAACTCACCGCCATGGTGGGAGTGGAGACGAAATGTTGGCTGGAGGCGGTGAATTCGAGTAGCTATACAACGTGGGATAAGAACGTCAGCAACGTCAGGCACATCAGCCCAACGTCGAGCTGCGAGGACCGCCTCCGTGACCACAACTACTGAAGCCGTCAGGCCACCGCGGCGGCGGGGGTCCCCACGGCTGCTGCTGGTCCTGCTGCTCTTGGGCGTCAGCCCCTACCCTCGCATCTGCACCCCCTACGCTCCCATCACCTCCACCGCCCCTGCTACCCCCGCCACCCCCAGCACCCCTCCCTCCCCCACGCCCCCCTCTGGGGCAATGACCTCGACCCTGACGAGGCTGTGTTGAGGCCGCCGCGACGGTCTCAGTGACAGGGACTGTCTCAGCGACAGCAGCGAAAACGTTAGAGTACAGTAACTGCATTGGGAGGGAGCATAGCCATGGAAGATAGGGACTGCCGCAATACCGTTAGACTGAGTGATAGTCCGCGGGCGGGTCTCTATCGCTAACAGGGTGGCGACGAAGTCACTAAGGGTGAGCTCAGCGGGGTGGAGACTGAGGAAGGTGTCGCGGGCAGTGGCTAAGCGGTTAGGGAGGCGCGTGGCAAGGAAATAAAGGGTAGCGCTGCGGGGGTGAGGAAGTAAAGTGAGCTGAGCCTCAGTGCTAGCAGTGCGCTAGCTAGCATCAAGAGCGCGCAGGTGAGTGGGAAGATCAGCGACAGCGGGGAAAGATGCGAGATCAGGGAAGAGCAGGGGCAGGAGGAGACGCCCAGCAGATGCGGAGGAGGGAGTAGGATAACGAGCAATGACTGCATCTAGGTATTCCTTGGCCGTCTCTAGGGCCTGAAAGCGGGGACGCTCGGACAGTGGGAGAGCATAACTGATAGCTAGCTGCGCAGTGGCGTTGTACGACTCCCAGACAGAGTGAATGAGTTCAGCAGCTGTGAAAGCCTCACGCTCAGCAGGCGTGGCGTCGTCAGCGAGGGCAGTAGGCGTGGGGAGGTAGGGCAGCTTACCATCAACATGGATGGCCAGAGACTGGCCATCTTTAAGCTGGCTCTTTAGCTGGCGGCGCAGGTCGGCGAGCCACGCCTCAAAGTCCACCGCATGACCCTCTGCATCCAGGCGGAGAATGGCATTCGCCATCACGCACAGATGCAGCAGCGGCTGAATGCAGGAGGAGGAGGAGCAGGGAGCATGCGGGTATGGTGGAGAGCGGTGGAGAACAGTGGAGAGCGATGGAGAGTGGTGGAGTGTAGTGGAGTGCGATGGAGAGCGGTGGAATGCAGTGGAGTGCAGTGAAGGCTCGGAAGAGCGGACGGCCGGCGAGGGCGACGGCGCAGAGGAGAAACCAGGGTCAGCGGCGTACAGGGGCCGGCGCGGCTAGCACAGGCCGATGCGACGAGTTGGAGCCGTCACGACGAGCAGGGGCGGCGCGGCGAGCTGGGGCCGGGGAGGTGAGCTGAGGGGCGAGCTAGGGTCGGCACAGCGAGCTGGGGCGGCGCGTCAAGCTGGGGCCGGCGCTGCGAGCGGGGGCCGGCGCGGCGAGCTGGGGTGGTGCGGTGAGCTGGGGCCGGCGTGGCGAGCTGGGGCGGCGTGGCGAGCTGGGGCCGACGCGCCGAGCCGGGGCCGACGCGGCGAGCCGGGGCCGACATGTCGATCTGGGGCGGGCGCGGCGAGTTGGGGCCGACGCGTCGAGCTGGGCCGATGCGGCGAGCTGGGGCCAGCGCGGCGAACAAGAGCCGATGCGGCGAGTTGGGGTCTGCGTGGCGGGCTAGGGGCCAGCGCGGCGGTCTAGGGGCCAGCGCGGCGGGCTAGGGGCCAGCATGGCGGGCTGAGGGGCCAGCGCGGCGGTCTAGGGGCCAGCGCGGCGAGCTGAGGGGCCAGCGCAGCGAGCTGAGGGGCCAGCGCGGCGGTCTAGGAGCCAGCGCGGAGGCTAGGGGCCATCGCGGCGAGCTGAGGGGCCAGCGCGGCGGTTGAGGGGCCAGCGCGGCAGTCTAGGGGCCAGCGCGGCGGGCTAGGGGCCAGCGCGGCGAGCTAGGGCAGGCGCGGCGCGCTAGGGCAAGAGCACGCTACGAGTGGGGCGCTCTAAGGGTAGGCTAGGGCGGAAGCGCGGGTGGGTGGGACCTACCTAGTTTGATACCATGTTAGAATGATGAAGTGGACTCTAGTATGAGCATACAGGGTGATATAAGGGTTTGGATTTTACTCTCTAAGAGCACGAACCTATCTAGCCTATTACTATACATGCATATCAAATATATATATAGACATACTGCATGCCATCCTTTGGGTACAACCAATGCATAGCAATTGTCGCAATATTTTTATTGCTAAAGACTTATAGAAGAGTCTCCTTCCTATGGTTCGTGTACAAGGGTTGTCTAACTACAACAAGACCCACCAAAACAACCTATCCATAAATTACTCTTGTGAAGGATGGAATTTAAAAGCGACTTAGATGGGCACAGGAACAGACAGGTACTTTTGGGATGTTTCATGTAATGTTATAAGATCATGGGCAAAAGGAGCTCCTAGTGGTTGACTCTTTGTTTAAGAGGACACAACTTAATGACCACTTTATGGGAGAAAAAATCTAGAGCCCTTATCAGAGCAGTTCTTGTCGTGGTCAAGGGGATTCTCTTCTGCTGCCCTCTTATTCCTAAACCCTAGAAAACATCTTGCTGGACACAGTCACAGGATCAGCGTCAGTACAGCACAGGGATTATGTGTGTCTAGGGCGTGTTGTTGGCGAGTTTGCCTTCCGCAATAGCCCCGCGGACGGCGTGCCACGCGTGTCTACAGTGCATTGAACAGTACTCGAGCATGCCGAAATCTCCCCACATTGCCCCACCGCGAATGGCCCACTGGGAGTTGCGGCAACCGCCACGTGTGCAAAATGTGGTAGCCGCCGGGACGCCAGGCCACACCCTCGAGTTTCCTCCGTGTGCCTCCTGACTCTTTGAAAGGCCGCCGCGTGGCGGCTGTTTGTAATTTTTGCTGCCCGAACGAGCAGATTTCGGACCGCAGAGGCATGCGACCTGCACCAAGCGAGCCCCCGAAATGTCGGGTGGATAAGGGGCGGGGAGAATGCAAGGCTTAGGCTTCATTCGCCGTTCGATTTTTTTTCTGGCGCTTGCAACCCGGAATAGTTCGATCGTCTGCCCGCAACACTACTGTTTTAGGGAGGAGCGGCCCACAGATCACTGTAGCTCAGCAGCAGCTTTAGGCGATCTGCCGTCCGCAAGCTCTACTGTACATCTTATGTAATCGGCTTGCTAGGGACTGGGTCAAGTAAAGCAGCACCCGTATTGGAGGACCAGCGACAGCAAGAAAAAAGGCTAGACAAAAAAAGACGACGGAAAAGCTGCATTTGCTGCTGCGGTGCCGCGGTAAACATTGTCGCAAGGCGAGAACCGCTTCCCCGTTTAGGTTCAGACACTATGTACAGCCCCCGTCCGATCGACGGTACTAGGTACGGTACAGCCGCAGATCTGGCCTGTATGGCGAACCGCGACCTCCCCGAGGTGCCGCCTGCCAGTCCGTGCCTGCTCGTCTGGTTCGGTGAGCACGTCAAATCTGGTACGGTCGCAGGCTCCGGCATTGCACCTTTCTTGGAACACGGGGCCCATGCTGGTTCGGCTCATACCGCCGCTTCGCGATATGATGGTTCCTCTGGGCTGTACTACCTTCCCAAGATTTGGACGTCAATCCGGCCTGGCTTGCCTGGCGGCCCGCCGGCGCTTCGCAGCCGAACCTCAGCGCGAGGTGAAGGCGGCCCCTTACAGCAGGCGGGATGGGAGGAGCAGCTCGAGTGCCACCTCCATCATCGGCGCCGCGAGGTGGTCGCCCGCCCCTTCCAGCAGTGCTGTCGCGGCGACGAATCGCGATCGTCGATCCGAGCATAAAAACGAGCCATCATCAACCATTTTCTCACCAGCCAACGCCCTCTTCGCCCACTCGCATCGAGGTCAGACCTGCAGCCTAAGCGTGGTTTCTCCGACCATTCTACGCCGGTCCCAGCCGCTTACCACCGAAGCCAACCGCTTCAGCATCATCATAGGCTGCTCCGCCGTTTTTTTCTGCTCCCTCGGAGATCGTCGTCAACGCCATCAGCAGAAGCATGGCTCCTTCGTCTGTGACCAGCGGCCACAGCCGGCTCCTCTCTGGTGCTTCTTCCAACTGCTTCTTGGAGCCCAAGACTGGCTTGCAGACGAAGACCGGCGCGACCAGTGCCAAGATGATGATCAACGGCTGTTCTTTCAGAAGCAATGTCTCAGGGAGCACCAATGCTGCTGCTGCTGTGGCTGCGCTGCTGGTGATGCTGCTGGCGGCATCGGCTCTGCCGCTGAGCGTGCGCGCCAGTGAGAACAAGCTGCTGCCCTGCACGTACTCCGGCCTCAAGGGATACACCTCGTCCTCGTCTCCCTTCAAGGGGTGAGTTTGCTTGAGTAAGAATGCTGCTTGCATCGGATTCTGCTTGTATCGCATTCTGCTTGTGTCGAATCTGTTGCTAAGCGTGCGCGCCAGCGAGAACAAGCTGCTTCCCTGCACGTACTCCGGCCTCAACGGGTACACCTCGTCCTCGTCTACCTTCAAACGGTGAGTTTTGTCGAGTCAAAATGCTGCTTGTATCGAATGTTGGTTGTTAGCGAATTCTGCTTGTATCGAGTCTGCCACTGCCAGCAGCTACGCGTGCACGCCAGTGTGAACAAGCTGCTTCCCTGCACGTACTCCGGCCTCAAGGGGTATACCTCGTCCTCCTTTCCCTTCAAGGGGTGAGTCTCTAACTGCTGCTTATAGTGAATTCTGCTTGTACCGAATCTGCACTGAAAGGTGGCAGGTGGCCGTCAACGTGAATCTCCGTGCCTCCAGTGCCCCCAGCAAGGGCCAAGTTGGCTCACCTGCAACCCCTCTCTCTTCTATCCCCTCACCTCCCCATCCCCCTCTCCCGCTCTTCCTCCTCCCCCCTCTCCCCCTTCCCCATTATCCCAGCATGCCTTTCACCGGAAGGTGGTCGGCGGCACGACCATCAAGAGGATCGATCTGTGCGCCTGCAGCCCTCTCTGTCCTTCTTCACCCCCTCCCTCCCGTTTCCCTCCCCACCTCTCCCCACCTCCCCCCCCCACTCCCCCTCCCCTCCTATCCCAGCCTGCGCCTGCACTGGACAGTCGTCGAAGGCGCGACTCTGAAAACCAACCTCCGCGCCTCGCCTGCCCTCAGCAAGGGTTGGCTCGCCGTGAGTTCTCCACCGATGGCGAGATGACCCCCTCAACAACTCCCCCTTTCCCCCCTCCCCGCCCTCCCCCCAACCCCTCCACACTCCCCTCCTATCCCAGTTTGCGCCTGCACTGGAAGGTGGTCGGCGGCAAGACAGTCAAAATCGACCTGCGCGCCTCGCCCGCCCTCAGCAAGGGGTGGTTCGGCGTGGGGTTCTCCACGGACGGCGAGATGACGGGCGACGCCATAGTGGTGCCGTCCAAGTCCGCCACTGCGCCCAAGATCCTCGCGCTCACGGGGGAGAGCGGCTCCTCAGTGGCTGAAAGCACTGACTGGACTCCAGCGAAGATGTCTATAAAGAGGACGGGCCGTGGGGCTTCCCTCAAGTGAGTGTTGGCAATGTCCCATGTCGCCACGAATGATCGGGGCGTTTCTCTGATGGACGGGAATGGCCACATGCGTGTGAGATGACTGGCGGCACCATAGTCATGTTGCAAGATCCCAAGATCCCAAGAAAGCAACACTTGGACGACGCGCCGTGAGGCTTCCCTCAAGTGAGTTGTGGTGTGGCACCGTGTGGCAAAGACGTAGAGGGCTGGCCTCGTGGTCAGTCACCTGGGAGAGCGGAGAGGAGCCCTTGTTTGAACTCCCGCCAAGCTCGCGATCAAGAGGGCCTGCCAGCCAGGGACGCGTCTCTCAAGTGAGTATTGGCACCTTGGGGGGGCATGCGTGGCACCTTGTGGCAGAGCAGTCAACCAAGGTGAGAGTGGCGGTTCAGTGGCGGAGAGCAGCCCTTGAACTCCCGCCAAGCTCGCGATCAAGAGGGCTGCCAGCCAGGGGCGCCTCTCTCAACTCAAGTGAGTCGTAGCCGTGGCTTGATATGACTTTCTGGGCAGCCTTGTCACTGTTCATCCCCCAGGCATGTTCATCCGTCATGCTTTTAATGCTGATGCGCACTTGAGCCACTAATGCTGCTGCTGCCTCCTCCCCCCCCCCCTCATATTTGGTGCCAGGTTTGAGCGAACTAGGGGGGAGGGATTGCAGCCTTCTTACTGACCATCAATCCTAAGAGAAAGAGCAGCCTCATGGTTGTGCACAAGACCGCGCCTTGGACACTCATGCTTCAACTGCCCTGCCACCCATCCGTCTCTTTCTCCCTGCTTCGTTGCCTCCTTGCTTTCTCCCCCTCCCTGATTACTATCCCTCCCTGTTTGTTCCCCCTCCCTGTTTTCCCTCCCTCCCTGTTTTCCCTCCCTCCCTGTTTTCCTTCCCTCCCTGCTTGCCCTCCCTCCCTGCTTGCCCTCCCTCCCTGCTTGCCCTCCCTCTCTGCTTGCCCTCCCTCCCTGCTTGCCCTCCCTCTCTGCTTGCCCTCCCTCCCTGCTTGCCTCCCTCCCTTCGTTCTCCCTTTCTTCTTGCAGGTTTGAGCGCACTGCAAGCGATGGCAGCATTGTCACCATCAACCCCAAGGGCAAGAACATCCTCATGTTTGCGTACAAGACCACGGCTTGGGACACTAACGAGGAGCATGATAAGGAGTAAGTGGGGGAGTGATAGGGAGCGAGCGGGCATGATAGGGAGTGAGTGGGCATGATGGGGTGTGAGTGGGCATGATATGGTGAGAGTGGGCATGGTAAGGTGTGAGTGGGCAATGTAGGTAGTGAGTGGGCATGATAGGGTGTGGGTGGGCATTGTAGGGAGTGAGTGGGCATGATAGAGAGTAAGTGGGTATGATTAACGGGGAAGTGGGCATGCAACCAGCTCCAGTGCGCTGAAGGCTTGTGCTCAACTTGTATTCACCCATGTTACTTACCATCCATCCCCTCCCTCACCCTCCTTCCACCCCCTCCCCCACCTCCCTCCCCCCCCTCCCTTCCCTCCCCTCCCTCCTGCTACCCCCGTCCCTCCACCTGCCTCCCTGCTTCTGTATGTGCGTGTAGTGCGCACGTCATGGTTGGTTCTGATGGCAACCATGTGTCTGTATGCGGGCACTCATTGCGCCTCATAGTATCTCCCTCCCTCCTGCTACCCCCGTCCCTCCACCTGCCTCCCTGCTTCTGTATGTGCGTGTAGTACACATGTCATGGTTGGTTCTGATGTGCCTCTTTATGCAAGCACTCATTGCGCCTCATATTATCTCCCTCCATCCTTGTGTGCATGCTGTGCCTATCCCGTATGTGTCCACGCTGTGCCTATCCCGTATGCGCCTATGCCGTGCCTACCTGTGTGTACCCATGCTGTGCCTATGCTGTGCCTGTGCTGTGCCTTTGCAGCGCGCACGTCATGGTTGACTTCGCCTGCAACCCCTGCAAGCGCCCCCTTGGCTTCCTCTTCTGCCGGGGCTGACTTGCCCCCATGGGGTGCAGTCCGTGTCTCAAAGATTTATCCGCCTCGGAAATAGACTTCTGCTGGGCCTGACGCTCCTGGCGGTCTGTCTGTCAGATCCAGGCTTAGATTAAGCGGGGTAGAAGAGGGGGTGGGAGGAGGGGGGAGCTGCTGCTGGGAACGTTTCTTGGCTTTTGTTAGAGGCTCATTGCTTAGCTTTGGTGTACTGTACTACCTGCCTATGATCTCCATTCCGGGTGTGCGATGTGGTACAGTGTGGTGGGTGGGCTGTTTAGTTCCTACCTATGCATCAATCTCTCTATTGAAAGGTCTCTGGCAAACATTTTCCAGCTCACTGGAATTAAAGAACCCTCTATAACATTAGGCAAAAATGAAGTGGAACAAGGAGAAAGCTGAGCAACATTAGGAAATTGGAAGCAATGCAACTTCACAAAAGGCTTGTTGTGAGTTGTTTGTGAGGGAGGGAGGATTCCCGTGGGAATCATGATGATGCTGAGCCCATCAAATTTTGCGGTTACACTTTCAGGAAGCCTCAGCCAATCATATTTTGCCGAACGAACCAATCGGATAGCTGAGCAAAAGCCGCAAGGCACACATTGGGCCCTGAATGTGGGGAAGGGTAAAAAATTCCCCTCACAAATCCCCCAGCACACGCTAGCCCTAAAATTGGCTAAGGGCCAAGTGCCCTCACACAACCCCCCAGCACACAAGGAGCAGGGGAAACATACGGTCATTATGGCAGGGCCCCAAATCACGCTGTTATAGGATTCGGGGTAGCTGCCCGTTAGGCAGATGATACAGGGACCTCTACAATAGCAACGCTGTACAAACAGAGTTCACTAAAAACAAAGCCCTGAAATTTCAGGGTTGTGTCTAAAAAAAATCCTAGCGCATCAGGGTTGGTACCAAAAAAACCTCTGAAAAAACCCTGAATCAGGGAAATTTGCCTGAAATCTGAGGCCCTGGTACATGCATATGCTGTGTTGCTTTGTCTTCTCCAGTGTTTCGTTTCGTCTGTTTCTAGGTGCATGGAGGTTCATACCGGTACCCCATATCAATGGCATGAAGGCTATTCATCCCCATATTTCACCAAGTGATGTGGTACCAATATTCCCAACAGCACAAGCACTACGTATAATTTTGCCTAAAGCGTGCTCGTTCCAGGAACAATATCTCGCAACCAACAGAATTGCACTGATCATGTGATGTGATACAGCACTTTCACCACGCAAAACCGCACGAGTCCGCCACTAGGCGAGGTCGATAGAACTACCTAGCCGTACATGGATGGCGGGGCTTCAGAGTTGTGGTTAGATGCAATGGAGTACCTGCCAACAAGGAGATGCCACACACAGCCGACAAGAAAGCCACCATGAATCGATATGAAGCAATATGATACCCGTAGGACCACACACGAAATCATACTATACATACAACTTCATATCAATCCATGCCATGTCGTGCACCCTAGCTCGCCCTGGAGAAAGGTTTATTGCACCATGCTCAAACAGCTCATCCGGTTTCGGACGGCCTTCCAAGCTCACTGGTGCAATGCAGCATCAGCCATGCCATACCATGCCATTCCATGCCATACCATACCATGCCATGCCATGCCATCCCATGACATGCCATGCCGTACCATACCAAGCCATGCCATGTCATCATGTCATGCCAAACCACTCACTCTGGAGAACGACCCACTGCACCACGCTTCAAACAGCTCATCTGGCTTCAGCCGCAGCAACAGTAGCAGCGCTAGATGGCCGGGGCAACAGTGAACCAGTAGAGGCAGACCTAGCAGGAGGAGCAGCAGCAACATCAGAAGAAGGAGGAGGAGGAGTTGCAGGAGCAGCAGCAGGAGGAGGGCCAGCAGCAGGAGGGGTAGCAGCAGGTGGCAGCTGCAGTGGTGGAATACGGAGAAGGGGCGTTCCGGACCGCAGTGTTGTTTGTGAGGCGGAAAGAGGGGCAGAGCAAGGGATAGAAAGAGGGGGGGGAAGGGGGCTGGGAAGAGGAGCAGAGAGAGGGGCGGAGAGAGGGGTGGAGAGAGGGGTGGAGAGAGGGGCGGAGGAGCACACTGTATTTGCTGAGTGGGGGCGAGATAGTGCTGAGGCAACCTGAATGGCTGTTGCTGATGTTGGATGTATAGGAGGTAGCAGCAGCAGGGCATTGCTGATTCTGGCCAGCTCCACTCGAATAAGGATTGACTCAATCGCGGCATCAACAGCAGCAGATGGAGTGACAGCATCAACAGCTGCCGGCCTATCAGAACTGACTCTCGAAGCCACGGCAGCATAGCGCGGGCCAGGTAGACCACTAGACTCAGCAACAGGAGACACCACAGCAGGAGACACAGTAGCAGGAGACACGGCAGCAGCAGAGAGCAGATCAGCAAAGGCGAGAAAAGCCGCATCAGCAGAAACAGGAGCCGTGGGAGAAGGAGAAGTGGGGGGAGGAGCAGAGGGAGACGGAGCATACGGGGAAGGAGCAGTAGGAAAACGAGCCGCATAAGCAGAGGGCGTATCAGCAGAGGACGGAGGAGGGACAGCAGCAGAGGGAGGAGGCAGAGTATCAGCAGAGGGTGGAGTAGGCGCCTGAGGAGCAGCATCCCCAACAGGCAGGTGCAGATGTCCGTGCCTGGTGTCAGCAGAGACTGCACCATGTACTGCATGGCATAAAACTGGTCTCTGATCCGCTTCATGTGGCAAACTGCAGCTGGCGGATCAGCTTGGAGAGGTAGCTGCCAGTATTTTTCGCAGTCTTGGAGTCAACAATGTCGACCACAACTGGTGCGGTGTCATTTTGAGCGATGTCGCACACGAAGCCACGGCTCTTGAGGCAAGACCAGCCATCCACGGTCAACGAGACCATGGTCGTTTGCCAAGTATCCTTCAGCGGCTGTAGCAACTCCTCCGTGTTGGCCTTGAGCTTCGCGAGCAGCGATCCCGAGACCTTGTACGCGGACGGAAGCTTGTAAGGCTTCCCGAACTCGATGACCGCATCGACGAAGGCCTGCAGGGAGGGCGACTGGGAGGTCCGAAAGGCCCTGTCGTTATCCACGATAGCAGCTGCCCACATGTAGTCCAGACGCGAACGTCCGGCCATATCCGTCAGCTCGCGAATATCGCGCTGACGCGACCGAGGAGTCGGGTGCACCGTCGAGGACTCGGCGCGAGCGGAGCCGGCGACGGTCGAAGAGCGTTCTACCTTGGAAGTCGTGTGCAGCTGCTTTGCAAACTTCTACGGGCACATTGCGACGTTCTTGTGCCCTCCGATCCTAGTAGCGTTCGGAGTGACGGTATCGTCACAATATTTGCAAACAGCGCTAGTAGCAAGGCCGTTCGGGCCTGTCACTTTTGTCACATGCTCCCATAAGGACGACGGGGGCCTAGGCATGGCTTGGCTAGGAAACGCCGCTAGCTGAGGAGTATGTTCGGGTGGAATGCTGCCAAGAAAAACGAACTACTGGATTGTGCTCACCATGCTGAAGATGTTCCGTGTTTGTACCTCGTAGCCTCGCTGCAAAGGTGTGAAAAAATTGATGGGCTAGCTGGGAGGGAACGGAAAGGACGACCTGTGATTGGGTGCGAACAAGTTCAGCGACTCGCCAGAGCATGGCAGGCTCACGATGCGCGCGAAAATTAGGTCTTCTGGGCGAGAAAAGACCCAACGACACTGACGAAACGGGTGTACATGCCCTTCAGAATTCGCCAAATTTTGGGTCTGCACGGCTCGAGAATCCATCAAATCCGCGGCTTAGTGAAAACCGGAACTCGACGTTTCTGGGTGAGTACGGAACAACTCGATAACATCGTGATTTCGTTACAAAAACAAGACCGACCAATGTTTTGGTGGGTTGAAAAAAACGGTCGTATTTTGCACCAACCAAAAACAGTACACTGTTAGCGTCATAAACTGTTTTATACGAACGAAAAATACGATTCCGTATTATACGCCAAAAAAAAAAAAAAAAAAAAAAAAAAAAAAAAAAAAAACGGCCGTATTTTTGCACCTTGGTCATCAGCAGCACACATTGTGTCAGCATCGGCACATGTCAAGTCATCAACAATACGACATGGAAATAGCCATGGCTGAGAGAAGCTTGATGATGCTGACGGAGCAGAACTCGACTGCAGCTGCGGAAAAAGACGGCTCGTGCAAGAGAGCTTCACGAGAACCATTCGCATCTTCTACACCTGATCCTCGGATCGAAACAGCAATGACAGTAATGAGTCTGTCCAATGTGGGGGATGAAGCAGCAGAAGAAGCAAGGAGTGAGACAATGGTTGGAATCTCAAGCGCAGCAGCCATGTCGTCACACACCCTACTCATTCCAACATCGCAATTAAGACCTTCAGCATCATGGGGCAGCCTCCAAACTCCACAGCTGCACCTGTCAGGATCAGAGCAATGCCTTCTAATGTCCCCCTCTCAACCACTTCTCCATGCCACATCAGATTCATCAGCCTCACAGTTGTTCGATGCACTTCTTCTTGCCCCTCTTCATCATGCTCTTCCTCTTACTCTCCCTCTTGATGGGGAAATGGATCACGGAACCTCATTTCTGGTCGAAGCACCTACACAGGAATTGAAGGGTATTGAAGCCTCATGCTTGCCTATGCATGAGATTGAAGCCATTCTGTTGGGTGATCTGCCTCAGCAGATGGCTCAGCAGATGCCCCAGGAGATGCTTCATCACATATCTCGGCAGGAGATTTCTTCAGTTGGACGTCATGATGGTTAAGAAGTCCGCCTCCACGGTGACCCTCTTCCATGAAGTCTTCAGCGCCTTGGAGCTCGTGCGCCCGGGGACTACTCGTTTCGGGATGCAAGTGCTTATGCTCCTGCGCTTCCTCGAAGTGAAGAAGTCCCTGCGAGAGATGGTGATTAGTGAAGCGTGGGAGGAGGTGGCAGTGGCACGCACGGAGGAGAGAAAGGCCATCCGCAGCCTGCTGTTGGAGGACGTCTTTTGGGAGAGTGTTTCGGCGGTCCTCAAGCTCATGACTCCTGTCTATGGGGTCTTACGGGTCGTCGACAAGCGGGCTATCCTCATGGGCCAGATTTATGGCCTCATGCTGGAGGCCACTGTCAACACGAACGCCGCCGCCGAGGCAGCTGGTAAGCGCACCTCTAAATCTGCATCGCCTCTTATAGCCATCCCGCCGTCCCGTCAGCCTCTATGTTCCTGTACTCACCCGGCAGCAATCCCACCCTCCCACTCATGGAACTCGCGTACCAACATTCTTCGTGAAGCGCACGACTTTGCTCGATGCGAAGGACAGGGCGGCCTTCTTGGCGGCGGTCCAGAAAATCATCGCCCGCCGCTGGGACGGTCAGCTGCACAACCCACTTCAGTCGTTGGAGTGGCTCTTGAACCCGCGCAACCAGTATGTGGGGGAGGTGCGGAACAACGACGAGGTGCAGAATGGGGCAGAGGCTGTGTTTCAGGCTAGGGGAGGGGACGTGGCTCGCTGCACCTTGCTTGCGGTGCAGCTGGCCACCTTCCACAAGGGGGAGGGCCGCCTTGGTTTGGTGGACGCCCGCTGGGCGGCGACAGCCCTTGTGGAGAGTGGCCAGCTGTCTGATGCCGAGTGGTGGTGGATGCACATTGCGGCCTTGCAGGAGCTAGTTGTGCAGGTCCTTTCACAGCCAGTGACCTCCAGCAAGGTCGAGCGCTATTGGTCGGCCTTGGCTCAGGTCCAGAGGCACGACCGCAACAAGCTGAATGCGGAGACCATGACAGACGTCACGTTCGTCGCGTTTGGGAGGCGAGCGCGCGCCGCCTACGGCCAAAACGTGGAGGTCTGGGCAAGGCTGTACGCCGACCTGTGCCTTGCCCCCCTTTGCAGCAGCCCGAAGAGGAGGAGGAGGAGGAGGAGGAGGGAGGGGATGTGGCTGGAGTAGTGTGTTCCATTGATTGGAACACGTTTGGCTCCATCGGCGGGCGGAAGAAGAAGAAGGCGACCAAGTCCCGGGGCAAGAAGCGGGCCAAGAAAAGCAGTGGGTTCCGAAAGGGGAAGGAGAAAGTGGTGGAGGAGGAGGAGGAGGAGGAGGAGGAGGAGGAGGAGGAGGAGGAGGAGGAGGAGGAGGAGGAGGAGGAGGAGGAGGAGGAGGAGGAGGAGGAGGAGGAGGAGGGGGAGCAGGCGGAGACAGATAGCGAGGGCAGCGGGCCAGAGGAGCCTGCAAAGAGGACCAAGGGGAGCAACCCGTGGGACTGCAGTGATGGGGACAGTGGGGAGGACGAGGAGGAAGAGGAGGAGGAGTAGGAAGAAGAGGGGGAGTCGGAGGAAGGAGCCATGGTGAGGGAGGAAGGAGGGCATAGTGGAGGAGTAGGGGGGCATTCTGGAGGAGTAGTAGGAGTAAGTTAGACTAGACTGACCTGGAAAGTTGCTTGTTAGTCTGCGTAGCATTCGGTAGCCTGTCATAGCCAAGGTACTGTCAGTTTCTGCATGTCTGTCTTTTTTTTTTTCCAAAGATTTTCGTCTATTAAAAAAACGACGTTTTGTTAAAAAACTGGCGTATTATACGACCATATAATACAGATACCGTTTTTTTGCACCTTGCTGATGACACGATGTGTGCTGCTGATGTCACGATGTGTGCTGCGGCTGACACAATGCGTGCTGCTGCTGACACGACGTGTGCTGCTGCTGGCACGCCGTGTGCTGCTGCTGGCACGACGTGTGCTGCTGCTGACACGATGTGTGCTGTTGCTGACACGATGTGTGCTGCTGATGACAGCATGAGGTGTTAAGGAAACACCCATCTCGTTCTTCTAGATTCTGTCGCATTGTGAATGCCACCCCCACTCTAGCATTCGCAGTCACCATTGGCAGAGCAGCCAGCCCAGCATTCACAGTCACCGTTGGCTGAGCAGCCAACCTGGCATTCGCAGTCACCGCTTTCACAGCAGCCATCCTCGCATTCGCAGCCATCGCCATGTCTCGTGTCATGCCATCATCGACACTCAACGTTGGCACAGCAGCCACCGTTGGCACAGCAGCCACCGTCGGTACACCAGCCACCATTGGCACAGCAGGTATCATTGCCTTAGCAACCATGTCCATGTCTTGTGGGGCCTGACGCTTGGACAGCTTCCTGCATGCATTGAGACCGACATGTAACATGGAGGTGCAGGGTAAGGCATCATAGCACCATCAGGCGAACCACCGCCAGCGGAACCATGGGAAAGGGTAGCGTAGATGCAACAAGGATACATTCCGTTCCTGCTGGCCGTCTGTGAGGGAAATTCTGGAGTCTCCTCACATTGAAAGCTATTGCAATGGGACATGGGGGAATATCATGTCAAACAATGGCATGCTGACTCACTCAGTGAACTCTGTAGGTCAGGTGACACTTGGAAAGAACAGCTTCGGCGGCTCCAGAATTAAATAACAAGGTAGTACTTCCGAGTAGAACTCACCTCTTGAGCAGAATTTAGCGGTTACAGCAAGCCTTGTGATTCCGTGTGGGCAGCAGACCCATGGATTTGACAAGTCCTCAGTTTTGCGTGCCATGCTTAGCCACGAGGGCCAATAAGATATTGTCTTCCTGCTCACGCCCAACAATAGAACACCCGAGCCGACAACGTTCAAACCAACTCCCAAACTCAGAGTCTCGCAAAGGCTTAAATAATGCTCTCACTTTCAACATTTACTACAAATGCACCTCACCTCCGGCTTCCAAAGCGCCCCACCCATTCGCCTCCTCTCCTTTATCGGCATCAAACTTAACATAGCCACGTTAAAGCTCATTTGTTTAGTACTTCGATTGAAGGGGTCAGCCATAATACCAGCCACAGCTAATAGTCTTCGAACAATTTACTCATGCCCTGAGAACTGAGAAAAGAACTTCCTTGCAATGATCACCGCCAGAAAAAATGTTCGTTCTAATTAGAGGTTGAATTGGCTCGTTTTCGTGGCTGTTAGAGCAGTGGGTGGAATAGAGGACGCAGCTCGGGCTCTACAGTGGAGGGTTAGAGCAGGACCTTGCTGTCGAATTCAAATCAAACAGCTCTCCTGAAAAGTAGGGCAGAATCAGGTTCTTGGAGAGGATAGACAAGCTTCACTCTCTGGTGCAATCAGCTCCCTATAGAGGGTATACAACAAAACCTTGCTTGCGTAGGCATTCCCGGCCTCCAAACGGAAGTGTGTTGCTCGTGGGATTATTCGGAAGTGTAATTTTCCACCTCATTGGTTCGGAAGCAGGGCTTACGCTAGGGGTAGTGGATTTGGACGTTCCCAGACCAGGCCCCAAAATCCCTGGATCTCAAAACATTCGGAACTGGCTTGAATTCCACCCTGGTCACGTCCAGATTTGAAACCCCAGAAACTCAGAACTAAGAGAGACCTCGAACAAACCAAAACCAAAATCCGAAAAAATTGAAAGTATACCCGTCTATTATATGCCCTTCAGACATCTATCCTCCGGTGTAATGGATATTGTAAAATACAGCAGGATCAGGCTCGGATTTCTTCCATGTAAGGATTTCACGAATCCTTACCGGGTTTAGTCACAGCGAGTACTGCGAACAGTGTGCGTCCGCAGCCTCGACCCTCAAACCTCGCGTCAAACCACCCCCGCCGAACTATTTGGCCCTGAACGTGTTACTGAGGCACCCTGAACCCAATTTGACCCCGTCACCCTCGGGACTACCGAGCCCTTGACTGGTCCAACTCTTGAGGTTCAACCTGGTCAACTTGCACTATATAAGCCCTAGGCCTTTCATTACTAGAAACATTCGGTAGTCACGCTCCCCAATAGTATTCTACGCTATGCTCTTAGTATAATTTCATAACAACTGGTATCAGAGCCACGATTCTGCCCATCTAGGTTCCGATTGGGGAGTAGTCCCTATCTGGGAAGGGGGCGGAAGGATGCTGGTGGCGTAGCACTTCCGATGCCGCCGGATCCTGTCCGATGGATGGTTGGGATTAATCGGTCCTCCCCTTCCCCCGGCGTACACGGAATTATTTTCCGTCGAGAGATGGCGACGTTTTCGCCAGAGTTTTCGGGTATGTTAGCTAGTCTTTTGTATTTTTTGGGAGGTTCTTATGGCATTACAAGAAGCTGCAAAAAAAAACCCGAAACGTCTTATACGAATGGATCTAGCCCAAGTTTATCAGCATCGATGACATCGCCAGTGAGACTCCTGGTCTTGGAGAAATTTGTTTCTCCAAGCAGGCCGAGTGCTCGTTCATAAGCCAATATCGACAAAAATGTGTGAATGGTGGATTGGGATGAATTATATGATCCAATTAAAGAGACTTCTTTTGGGTACCCCAAGCAACGTCCTCCACTTTTGCTTGATGTCATCTGCAAAGGATGACATCTTCAAACACTCGTGAACAGCGAAGCTTCCCACACCTAGGGGCTTGACTTGACTTGAACGGTCCTCGGCATCTGTATTCTAGGTTTGAGGGCACCGCGGGCTCACGGGCAAGAACATTCTCATGTTTACGTATAAGTCCTCCATTTTATACACTCACACCTCTGCTACTTGCCTCTCTGCTTTCTTTCTCTCCCTCTCGGCTTACTTTCTCCCCCCCCTCTGTTGGCTGGTTTGAGTGCACTATAGGGGATGGCAGCCTTGTTACCATCAACCCCAAGAGAAAGAACATACTTATGTTTGTGTATAAGACAAGGGCTTGGGACAGTAATGAGGAGCATGATAAGGAGTAAACCATGGTTTATGGATGTGATGGGGTGAGCCCAAGTAGGGATGATGGGTTTGGAAACACCATGAGAACATTGCCCCATCATTTTGGTTTCCACCTATGCCAAGCATCCTCATTCCTTTAAACACTGAACCCTAATCTCGGAACTTATACAAGCCAATCTGATGCCTGAACTCTCATTCTATCCCTGCATGCATTGAACCAGCTCCAGTGGTGCTGCATGCATTGAATTAGCTCTAGTGTGCTGACAAATTCAAATGATCAACTTGTGTTTCCCCCTTGTTCGCTGAGCATGTGTTCCCTGTTGCCTCATTCACGCCAAGCCTGAACCAACTCAAGGGTGCTGACAAAACCTTGTGCTCAACTTATGTTCACCCTTGTTTCTCACCATCCCTCTCCTCCATCAAACCACCCCCCCCTCCCCCCCCCCCCCCCCCCCCCCGAATCTCCTACCCCTCCCACCACTCCCTCCCTTCCCTCCCCTCCCTCTTTCTACCCCATCCCCCCACCTCCTTTCCTGTTTCTGCAAGTGTGCATAGTGCGCACAGCATCATTATGTGCACCTTCCTTCCAATTGATTTTTCCTGCAATCCCGCAAGTGCCCCCTTGGGTTCCTCTTATGCCAGGCCTGTCTGGCCCCCATGGTGGTCCAGTCCGTGTCTCAAAGCTTTATGCGCCTGGGAGATAGACCTCTACTAGATATAGACTTCTGCCAGGCCCGAGACTCTGGGCGGCCCCTCTGTCAGCTACCGTAATCCCCCAGATAGACACCCCTAGGGTCGTATCTAGGAGTGGTTTGAAATCTTAGGGGGACGATAAATCGAATAAAAAAAAAAGCCCATGGGTGCTTATAACGATTTCTATGGATTATGTTTTAAAAATATTCAGTATATATATATATATAAGGTACCTCTTGGTGAAGAAGAGCTTGGTTTCAGGAGAGGACATGGTAATAAGTCGCACATAAACAGTTCGAGATGCTTCGGCCACGACAGGGAGGCAGGAAAGCTGCTTTGCGGCCCAATCACAGCATTGCTGTGTCAGCAAGGGCTGTTGGCGCACTGCTGTGCCAACAAGGGCTAGTGGCGGGTGACAGTTGCCTTGTTTCTGCGTCAGAGGGTGCTACGTGGCCACGTAACACTTGAATCTGGATGTCTTGGAAGGCTGTCGAAGTCCAGCACCGCAGGGGGTCCCTCGTTCCAAGGTTGTGCAGCAATGAAATTCAGCACAACCTTGGAACCCAAGCAGCTGTAGCTCCCCTTGCGGGAGCCATGGCAGGACTCCCTCTATCCAGTATCTCAGTGCTGTTTGGTAGACCAGGGCAGCCTACACGCCTTAGAGCAATGTTGAGTCCCACTCCACCTGCTCCTCCCGCACCTCCCGCTCCTCCTACCCTTCCTGCACCGCCAGCTCCTCCTGCACCCCCTGCCCCACCAGCGCCTCTCGGGACAGGGGGGAGCAGAATGAGTCGGGCTTTTCACGCCGCCGAATCAGCGACTAGTCGAAGTAGGAGGTTGAGCTCCGAGCTGCGCATGGCTGCCATAAGAGACTCCATGTCCAAGGGAGGTCTTCTTGGTACGCCTACATGGAGTTGCAGACTACTCCAAGCTC